GGGGAGGCCTTTATCCAGCAGTGGACTTCATTTGGCTGAAACGAACGAACTCTTTTTAGACTATAACCTCATATTTTTACTCTTCACGAACCTTTTTAATTTACCGCAAGAAATTGGAGGATTTGACCTACACTCCCCACACTGGCCAGAAGGATTGGGGAGTTCTGATGCATATTATTCCAGTCGCCTTTTACGACATCGACTGGAAGATTATGAGCAGTCTTATTCTGCTCTGCAAACGCATAGCAATCATACTTTAGTATCATTTCATAATACCGACGGTTTGAAGCATAATACAGTCGTAAACTCTTAGTAACATTATCTCAAGTCTTTTAGTATTTAGTAAGTAATTAATTATACAGCTTTATAGTCGCGGTTAATGTCCAATATGTATTCATAGCCTGTTCGTTAGCCCCCGAGGTGTCCTGTTCAGTATAATACAGTATACAATATATTTAGACTCTTATGGACATTAGCATAAGGCACTATTTCATCAACTACACTGTCTGTAGACTGTTCAACTGATATATTTTTCAGTATCATCGGCTGAAACACATAAGGCAATTTAATCGGATATTTTCTGGCTAGTTTCATAGAAATTAGTCAGTTAATACTCAATCAACTCAACAGATGTAAAAGACAAAAATCTTCTAATCTAAACCTCTATGCATCAAGGTCAACCTTTCTGATATTTATGTACTTATTTAAGTATGCATCCATAGTCACAGTACGTCATAGGATCAGCTCAGGAAAATGTAAGCTCAAGAAAAACTAATTACCTACATATTGTATCCAAAATTCTGAAATAGCAGGTACAGCTAGTCCAAATAAATAGTTTAGCTTACCTATACCTACTCGTACGCTATGATAACATAAAGCACCCGTTTACATTAAAATAGCAATAAAAACAAGCAATTGCTTCGCAAACCAATCCGTCTATTTGCACTAAAATGCAACAAACCGACTACAAAACCGTCATAGTGATGACTATTTTGTATTATTATGAAATACTGCCAACATAACCACACAAACGGCCGCTATAAAATACAGGTAGCGCATAAAAACCAAACAATAAATTTAACTGCGAAGTAAAAAACATAGAGGCGTATAAATTTTACTTTCGCCGGAATGTTGGCGACTATTCTGTGTAATGACCGACTTGGTAGCGACCTTTTTGCGACACGACTTGCTATGAGATATAGCAAATACTGCCACAGAGATGCGACAAATTTATCAAATAAAAAAAAACGAAATAACTGTTTAATGTGTGGCAGGTGACTGACCACATCTGACAAAAACTGATAGAAGAGTTATCTAATAGACCACGTATCTGAAAATGTAGTATAGGATGTTCCCTGCTCAATTGAATGAACTGATGACCTTAAGATAATAGTGGCAGCCTAGTAGATAGACGGAAAAAGTTGCCAAAAAGATTGTGGCGTTTGACGTAAGCGACCATCAGTGCAGTGCCTGGAATGATTCGATGTAGAGTCAAATAGGTAAAGAATATATTTATCAAGTGACAATGAAGTTTATTTTACATTTTAACTAGAATATTCAGTGAATCATGCTTGAAATGATTTTTACACTAATCGCAGTTCACAAAATAAGGTGCACATTGGGCGACAATCACGGTGACTAGACGACTATTCTTGTCAATTTCATATATTAGCTTGTCGTCGCGGAGCCACGACGACTATAGGCGAGAATATACGTCTAATGTGCGCAGTAGCTTAAGTCGCATCTCTACGGCGCTGGCTCGCGTATCCCGGCGGTCACGATTGCGCGCTATAAAAGGGAACGTCCAGATAACTTTATTCCGCATAATGCCATCCCTTTGAAAAGGAAAGCCTGGCAACATTTTTGAGATTGCCCCTTTAAAGGCCCACTTTTTATTTGGAGAGGCTCAAAGGATGCCGCGTATGCTCCTATTTGGGCATTGATCAGGACAAAAAGATCCACAGAGTTCTGGGTACGGATTCAAAAGGAGGGGAGGTCTGACCATTTAAGAGAGGGCACGTCAACAAACATGATTGTCATTACTTTTGTAGTTTAATAACTTGGAATAATGATTATTGATAGTCATAGATTTTTAATAAGCCACTACGTGACTGTAGTGTTCTTTGAGATATCATAGTTATTTACTCTAAAGTTACCATTATAGATCCTGTTGGGCACCACAAAAGTAGAGCAAAAGAAGGTAGGTGAGATAAACAGAAATGTTTTTTACCGGACCAGTAGTTCCTGAGATTAGTGCGTTTAAAAAACAAACAAAAAGCACTCCAGCCTTATTGGCGATGCAAAGACTATCCGCTCGCTTCTAGTGGCGAAATTTAGAAGCTGTCTAAGAACGACACTGTGTTTGTTTATTTGTTGAGGTTATGTTTAGATTATTCAGATGGATCACGATTATATACGGAAACCTGTTGCTAATAAAAGCAGAAATACGAAATATTGTTGCGTTCCTCAATGTAGTACTTACGGAGATACGGGAATAAGTTTTCAAGACAAAATTAAAGTATAGATTAGAATCGATTCATTTCATATCACTTTGCATTACACACCATGTTTTGTCACTATTTGTAAGCCAGAGGTATTATTTCCAAGTCAGATCTAAAACTGGCTTTGATACGTGGGCGACCGTACCTAGACTGGTGTAATTAAACACGGTTCAGATATCACAGAGATGGCGCCACCAGTCATATCTAGTCATCAGAACCCATAAATAGACTGATCAACATGCTAAAAGATTTCTTCACTGCAGGTATACACTTCTTATACAACTCATAGAAGTACATAGGTACTGATGTTACGAGTAGGTAAATGTACTATTATTACTACTAGTAATTTGTTCCTTGTTTGGGGCAGAAAAGTTGTCGAGTGGCAACCACGGACCGGACGACGTAGCGTGGGCAGGCCTCCTACTAGTTGGACCGACGATCTGGCGAAGGTCGCTGAAGAACGGGATGCGGGCAGGACGTTATGGAAAACCTTGGGGGAGACCTTTGTCCAGCAGTGGACGTCATTTGGCTGAAACGAACGAACGATTTTGTTCTTAGTGAGAAACGAAAGGGGTCATAATTTACCGAAGCACCAAATGTGATCGATAGATCCATTATAAACGAAAAAATAGTGACCAACCAACTATCTCTGAATGAAATAAAGCAAAAAGTCGATCTATTTACTACTACTGTCTAGCTCTACTTGCTTCTATCGACCGATTCGATAGTAAATCAATGTAGAAAAATACACTCATTGATATATCTTTCAAAATATTTCAATGAGTCACTACGAATAAGAATAATATTCACCCCATAATAAACTGACCGCTTTGGTATGTGAAGGTATGGAATGTGTGATTCATTGTAAAATGTTTTAAATCAATAAATAATTCCTATGAGAATATTATAAGCATAATAATTTTTATTGATCGAAGTGCACTCTACACATGAAAGAAGATTTCAACTTAGATTAAAATTTAATAGGGTGATGATAGTTATACGAAAAATACCAAATTTCAGTTTCATTTATATATGTTACAGGAAATGTATGAAATCCGTCATTGTATACAATTCCTAGGAATTGTGTATACCTAAGTCCTAAAATCACCCGGAAATGTGTGATGTAAATTATATTAGACACATTTCCTAGGAAAATTACACATTTCCTAAACAGCAATCGGAAATGTAATTAAGATATTTTTTTTTACACAAAATTATTTTTATTACGCCACTTTTTGTTCTCCAAAACTGAAATGGCGCTACCGCGCCGCGGCAGCTGTGTATGTGTAAGGTCGCAAGTCTAACCTAACCTAACCGAGACTTTGTTATCCAGCTACAGGAGTACTAAAACCTTCATGTCAATAATAGTTTAATAAAAGAGATGTTAAAATTAGGGATTTCCAATACTTCAGCGTAATATGCGTGATGCCGAAAGAAAGGTATAATAGTGCGAAAACAACTGTCAGGCTAAACAATAATAATTGTGAGTTAAAAGTACCTATCGGCCAATGTGGTTGGGCTAAATGAAATTTTAGGCGTACAGAGGGACACCCGATCACGCGACCGCGCTTGTGCCGCTTAGTTTTATACATTTCCTAATACAATATTGGAATTCTATAAAATTCCTAGGAAAAGTATACATTTCCTAGGATATGTGCGTATTAAAAAATCTCTGAAGCAATATTTTATACATTTCCTAAATAGCTTCGGAATTGTATACATTTCCTAGGAATAGTATACAATTCCTAGAATTCATACATTTCCTGTAACATATACATGCATATTTTACTTCAGACTATGTCTATTGTCATGTTATTTCATAGAAAAGATGACCTCATAGTTTGTCTGCGACATACATCTGCATTCTTTTGAAGGCCAAACAGACGCCTACCTGTTATGCTAATGTGTTACATATTCATTATGCCATAACGCCGACCGTCTATGTTTACCTGTTTCCACATAAATTATTAATTTGAAAAACCTTAAAGGTATGCAAAAAGTTCAATTGAGAGAATAAAATATTATGTTTTATCTCACGTCGTCGTAAGAACGTGTGTTTTTTCGTGTCATCATTTATTTTTAACTGATTTATAAAAAGAAGGAGGTTCTCAATCCGACTGTTCTTTTTTTTGGGTAAACATGTGAGGTACGTATACCTACGTATAATCTACAAATACATAAATGTTGAGAACAACCAGACCAATACAAAAAGAAAAATTTGTATTATGTGAAGATCGAGCCCACGACTTCTGGCGCAGTAAATTAAATACGCGAACCACTAAGCCATAACTTCATAAGGGCGCCAATTATACTTCGTACCTCTTCCGAAGATGATTACCAATTTACATGCAGCAGTACGTAGTATGGTGCCGTCCTTATCACACTCTTTAAAGCTACAAAAAGAAAAAAACTTCTATCTCGCTCGCTCCCTCCCGGGCTCGGTGCGGCGTGGTGCGGCCGAGCTACGGTACTGGACGCCATTACGTGATTTTGTGTCGTCCGAGTCGCACGAGTTCGTTCGTAATATTCATAATGGGTGGAAAGAAACGATCGCGAGACGAGGACTACGACGTTATAAAAAAGAAAATTAGGAAATTAGAGAAGCAATTAAAACGGAAATCACGCCATCGGAGAATATCTTCAAGTTCAGAAAGCAGCGATGAAATACCCAGTTCACTCCATTCTGACAACGGCTTAGAAATAAATTGCGGTAAGTAACAGTGCATACTACATACTTATATGTATATCGTTACGCGCCAGTGCACAGCGACAGGCTGGCGCCGGCATGTCGCTCAGGTCTATGTATATGACTATGCGCGCTTCCTATTTATTTACTGCTAAATGCTTTAAATAAATTGTAGTTAAGCCGGCTTATTTTTTCTTCATCATCTATTATGCTACTACGCAACTTTACAAGTTTTATAAGTGAATGTGTACTTCATGTAAATCATGCTGAGTACCTACTTATTTATATTATTTTTTTCTGCGTTACTCCCTGTAAATCGGGTCGAGTTTTGTACTTTTACTCCACGTATATCGTGTTGAGGAATTATATAGCTCCGCGTATATCGCGTATGAGCGCTTATATGTATCCTATATGGATTTACATTTTAACACGTTTAATATGCTATTGGCTATTTTATCCTATACGGATAAATGTTTTATTGAAACGTAACCGTTTTTCCAGATGAAACACAAGTTGAAAATGATTCTCAACCAGAATGTTCTGCTATCATTGATGAATGTCCGGAACTACATGAAGATATTCTAAATATACTAGGCCCTGATACGACCACAGAGAAGCCTTTTGGTGATAATTTACACAAAGATGTTGCTTCGAGATGGCAACATATTTTATTAAATGGCTTATCAAAGGAAAATAGATCTGATTTATTAAAAACATATCTACCTCCGGAAAATTGTCCGAACATGAGGGCTCCTAAATTAAATTTAGAAATTAAGGCAGCCTTAACAGAAATAAATAACAAAAAGGATGCTTATAGCCAAACTAAACAAAATCAGTTAGCCAGTTGTTTGTCAGCCCTGGGCAAAGCTTTAAATTTGACTTTATTTAAAAGTAAGGAAGATACCACTTCACAGGAAATAATTAAGTCACTAAGTGATGCTGGCCGTCTACTGTGTGACTATCACTTCAAGGAATCTCAATCTAGACGATACGCTGTTATCAATTCATTGAACAAGGATACAAGAGACACTATTAAAAATACCAAAATAGACGATTTTTTATTCGGCTCCGATCTTGCCGATCATTTGAAATCTTCCAAGGCGATTTCAAAGTCTGGAATGGAACTCAGGCCGACAACCACAGATAATCGACCAAAGCCCAAGCCAGGTACTTCTGGTCAAGCATCTGCAGTGCGTCGTGGAACTTTAAACGCGAGGGGGGCGCCGCAAGCACCAGCCGCCGAGCCGCGAGCGAACCCCGTACCACAGAGGCGACCGGCAGCTCCGTTACGCGACCGACGCAACTACAGCACGAGGCCCACGCAGCGTCATCGGGGGAGGAGGACCTGACTTCGCATCCAGAGGTACCTATTCCTGTTGCTGGCCGTTTACAATATTTTTACCAACAATGGACTGACATCACAAACGATCCTACCATTTTATCATGGGTTAAGGGTTATAAAATTCCATTTATAGATAATCCGGTGCAATATGAGATACCCAAGAATAAGTGTTGTTCCGGAATGGAAGCTGAAATAATTGATGAATGTGTTTCGAATTTATTACAATCCCAATTTATTTCACCTTGCAATTCATGTGAAGGTCAATATATTTCACCAATTTTCACAGTTCCAAAACCGAATGGTAAACATAGGTTTATATTAAATCTAAAGGGTTTAAATAAACACATAGACGTTCAGCACTTCAAAATGGAAGATTANGCGACCGACGCAACTACAGCACGAGGCCCACGCAGCGTCATCGGGGGAGGAGGACCTGACTTCGCATCCAGAGGTACCTATTCCTGTTGCTGGCCGTTTACAATATTTTTACCAACAATGGACTGACATCACAAACGATCCTACCATTTTATCATGGGTTAAGGGTTATAAAATTCCATTTATAGATAATCCGGTGCAATATGAGATACCCAAGAATAAGTGTTGTTCCGAAATGGAAGCTGAAATAATTGATGAATGTATTTCGAATTTATTACAATCCCAATTTATTTCACCTTGCAATTCATGTGAAGGTATATATTTCACCTATATACCTTCATAGGTAATATATTTCACCAATTTTCACAGTTCCAAAACCGAATGGTAAACATAGGTTTATATTAAATCTAAAGGGTTTAAATAAACACATAGACGATCAGCACTTCAAAATGGAAGATTACCGTACGGTTTTGAAACTCATTGAACACAATGATTACATGGCCACAATAGATATTCAAGACGCATACTTTTTAGTTAATATAGATATTGAGGATCGCAAAAAATTAAGATTCCAATGGCGTTCAAATATTTATGAATTTAACGTCCTTCCCTTTGGTCTATGTACTGCACCATTCGTTTTCACGAAACTATTGAAACCAATATTATGTAATCTACGTTCAGCTGGCTATGTATCTGTAAATTATCTAGATGACTTTTGCTGTATCGGTTCATCATTTGAACAATGTGTTAATAACGTAAACGCCACCATATCACTTTTAGAATCCCTAGGATTCTTAATAAACTCGGACAAAAGTCAAACTATACCTAGTAGGTCATGCAAATTTTTGGGATTTATTTTCGATACTTGTGATATGACATTATCTCTAACCGGCGATAAAAAATTGCGTATAAAACAAAAAGCAAATATGTTCATCAAAACAAATAAATGCACAATTAGACAATTTGCTGAATTTATTGGACTTTTAACTTCAGCCTGCCCAGCAGTTCGCTATGGGTGGGTTTATACAAAATTATTTGAAAGGGAAAAATATTTAGCACTGGGTGACTCTGATAACTATAATAAAAGAATGCATATTAAGAGGTATTTACAACACGATTTTCTGTGGTGGAAGTCCAATATTGAAAAAAGTTTCAACCCTATTCAAAAAGACAATTACGATGTAGTCATTTATAGTGATGCATCTAGCACTGGGTGGGGTGCAGCCTGTAATGGTGAAACGGCTGGCGGTAACTGGAATATATCCGAGTTAAAAAATCATATCAATTATCTGGAACTGCAAGCAGCTTTTTATGCTTTAAAAACATTTGCTACACATTTACATGATTGTAACATACTTCTCCGAGTAGACAATAGTACAGCCTTAGCTTACATCAACCGAATGGGTGGTGTAAGATTCACACACCTCAATGATTTATCTCGAAAAATTTGGCAGTGGTGTGAACACCGCAAATTACTTATACATGCATCTTATATAAGATCAGCCGCTAACATTGAAGCGGACCGGGCATCTAGGCAATTGAATATTGACACCGAATGGGAACTTGCCGATTATGCATTCAAACAAATAGTTAACTCATTAGGTAGTCCGGAGTTTGACCTTTTTGCAAGTGTACAAAATCATAAGTGTGAAAGATATTCTTCATGGAAACTTGACCCGCAGTCCGAGATAATTGATGCATTTACTTTTAGTTGGCATAATTTAAATTTTTACGCATTTCCCCCCTTTTGCTTGGTAACTAAAGTTCTCCAAAAAATTAAATCAGATAAAGCTGAAGGCATTATCGTTGTACCTTTTTGGCCATCACAGCCGTGGTACCCAATGTATCAAAAAATGGTGATTTCTCGTGAGATTATATTTCAGCCAAACAAGTCATTGCTCCACTCTCCTTTCAGGGAAGCTCATCCACTCCACTCGGACCTTTCCCTGGTGGCGTCGAAATTATCCGGCAGACATTGATGAGACGAGGTGCTCCATCAACTTCATTAAATTTACTAATGGCTTCTTTCGCTGAAAACACTCTAAATCAATACAATTCATCTCTTAAAAAATGGTGGTATTTTTGTCAGGATAATCATTATAATTATTGTGAAGCTAGCGTGTCACAGGTGATTCAATTTTTTACGGAAAGTTTTGAGACGGGCGCTAGTTATAGCACACTAAATACGATGAGATCAGCTTTGTCATTATTACTCGATCCATCAGTAACATCAAACATTATGATTACTAGACTTTTGAAGGGTGTTTTTCGCCTAAAACCACCCACACCTAAGTATGATGTTACATGGGACCCAATCATTGTACTTAATTATTTAAGTGATTTTTATCCTTATGATAATATTTGTCTTCGTGATTTGTCAGCAAAAACTGTTACTTTACTTGCTATAGCATCTGCTCAGCGAATGCAAACATTAAGCCTTATTAAAATAACAAATATTGTAATTGAAAGCGATTGTGTAATAATTAAAATAACTGATTTAATAAAAACATCCCGACCTGGAGCCTATCAACCACTTATTAGGCTGCCCTTCATTATAGAAAATCCAAAAATTTGTCCGGCTTTAGCTTTAACGTCTTATATGAATAAAACTTTAAATATTCGAAACTGTGAATCAGGGAGTTTGTTCATCAGCTTCAGAAAACCTCACAATAAGGTGGGACCACAAACACTTGCTCACTGGGTAAAGAGTACCTTGCAAAAAAGCGGCATAGATACAAATATATTTGGCGCTCATAGCACGCGGCACGCAGCCACATCGGCCGCGCGCCGCGCTGGAGTCAGCCTGCAAGTGGTTCGTAGGGCTGCAGGCTGGAGTGATTCTTCCAATGTATTCCTTAAATATTACAACCGAGATGTGAATGTATGCGCTACCAATAATGAATTTGCTAATTCTGTTTTCAATCATACCTAATTATAGCCAAATTATGAAGTTTCACAGAAAAATACTTTTTGTTGTCTGTTGATTTTTCCTTTGTGAAAATGAGATAATATAATAAGTATTGGGCAAAGTTAGTTTTTCTTTCATCATTAAAACCCATATTTGCCTAATCAAATTTTTTGAAACTTTAAACATCTGCATGTAAATTGGTAATCATCTTCGGAAGAGGTACGAAGTATAATTAAGAATTAAACGAACTTACCTTGTGAAGTTCGATTCTTATTATACGAGTACCACGAACGAAGATGATTACCTACTCCCACCCAACCCAGGCTTTCGCCTTAACCCTACTGATAATCACAAAAAATTTGATTCCAGTCAACTCTAAAATTAATGGCGTCCAGTACCGTAGCTCGGCCGCACCGAGCGCGCCCGGGAGGGAGCGAGCGAGATAGAAGTTTTTTCTTTTAGTAGCTTTAAAGAGTGTGATAAGGACGGCACCATACTACGTACTGCTGCATGTAAATTGGTAATCATCTTCGTTCGTGGTACTCGTATAATAAGAATCGAACTTCACAAGGTAAGTTCGTTTAATTCTTAATTACACTCCGGGCTCCAATTCCAATTGACTCCTTTTTTTAAAAGTTCGTGTAGTGGGTGTAAAATAATACTCAATTTCGGAATAAATTTACCGTAATAATTTAAAAGGCCCAGGAAACTTCTTAATTGAGTGGTATCACCAGGTACAGGTACGTTACTAATTGCCTCCACCNGTTCAAACAAATAGTTAACTCATTAGGTATTCCGGAGACCTTTTTGCAAGTGTACAAAATCATGAGTGTGAAAGATATTCTTCATGGAAACTTGACCCGCAGTCCGAGATAATTGATGCATTTACTTTTAGTTGGCGTAATTTAAATTTTTACGCATTTCCCCCCTTTTGCTTTTTAATTTTTTGGAGAACTTTAGTTACCAATAACTAAAGTTCTCCAAAAAATTAAATCAGATAAAGCTGAAGGCATTATCGTTGTACCTTTTTGGCCATCACAGCCGTGGTACCCAATGTATCAAAAAATGGTGATTTCTCGTGAGATTATATTTCAGCCAAACAAGTCATTGCTCCACTCTCCTTTCAGGGAAGCTCATCCACTCCACTCGGACCTTTCCCTGGTGGCGTCGAAATTATCCGGCAGACATTGATGAGACGAGGTGCTCCATCAACTTCATTAAATTTACTAATGGCTTCTTTAGCTGAAAACACTCTAAATCAATACAATTCATCTCTTAAAAAATGGTGGTATTTTTGTCAGGATAATCATTATAATTATTGTGAAGCTAGCGTGTCACAGGTGATTCAATTTTTCACGGAAAGTTTTGAGATGGGCGCTAGTTACAGCACACTAAATACGATGAGATCAGCTTTGTCATTATTACTCGATCCATCAGTAACATCAAACATTATGATTACTAGACTTTTGAAGGGTGTTTTTCGCCTAAAACCACCCACACCTAAGTATGATGTTACATGGGACCCAATCATTGTACTTAATTATTTAAGTGATTTTTATCCTTATGATAATATTTGTCTTCGTGATTTGTCAGCAAAAACTGTTACTTTACTTGCTATAGCATCTGCTCAGCGAATGCAAACATTAAGCCTTATTAAAATAACAAATATTGTAATTGAAAGCGATTGTGTAATAATTAAAATAACTGATTTAATAAAAACATCCCGACCTGGAGCCTATCAACCACTTATTAGGCTGCCCTTCATTATAGAAAATCCAAAAATTTGTCCGGCTTTAGCTTTAACGTCTTATATGAATAAAACTTTAAATATTCGAAACTGTGAATCAGGGAGTTTGTTCATCAGCTTCAGAAAACCTCACAATAAGGTGGGACCACAAACACTTGCTCACTGGGTAAAGAGTACCTTGCAAAAAAGCGGCATAGATACAAATATATTTGGCGCTCATAGCACGCGGCACGCAGCCACATCGGCCGCGCGCCGCGCTGGAGTCAGCCTGCAAGTGGTTCGTAGGGCTGCAGGCTGGAGTGATTCTTCCAATGTATTCCTTAAATATTACAACCGAGATGTGAATGTATGCGCTACCAATAATGAATTTGCTAATTCTGTGTTCAATCATACCTAATTATAGCCAAATTATGAAGTTTCACAGAAAAATACTTTTTGTTGTCTGTTGATTTTTCCTTTGTGAAAATGAGATAATATAATAAGTATTGGGCAAAGTTAGTTTTTCTTTCATCATTAAAACCCATATTTGCCTAATCAAATTTTTTGAAACTCTAAACATCTGCATGTAAATTGGTAATCATCTTCGGAAGAGGTACGAAGTATAATTAAGAATTAAACGAACTTACCTTGTGAAGTTCGATTCTTATTATACGAGTACCACGAACGAAGATGATTACCTACTCCCACCCAACCCAGGCTTTCGCCTTAACCCTACTGATAATCACAAAAAATTTGATTCCAGTCAACTCTAAAATTAATGGCGTCCAGTACCGTAGCTCGACCGCACCGAGCCCGGGAGGGAGCGAGCGAGATAGAAGTTTTTTTCTTTTAGTAGCTTTAAAGAGTGTGATAAGGACGGCACCATACTACGTACTGCTGCATGTAAATTGGTAATCATCTTCGTTCGTGGTACTCGTATAATAAGAATCGAACTTCACAAGGTAAGTTCGTTTAATTCTTAATAATTAAAAACATACAAAAGAAATTAAAAATCAATAGCGTGAATAACAAAACGATACAGAAAATGTGAACGTAGTAAACAAAATACAAGTAGCAACAACTCCCGAAATCGCTCAGTCATCGCACTGTTTGTTTTACATTATTTTCAATACTCAATAAAGCACATGCAGTGTCGACATCAAAGGGTTAATCGAGGTCTGATCACAATGAACAGCAGGTCTACTCCGAAACAGCGTTTACGTGCTTTCGGCTCTATCTGTTCTCGTCGCTCATACCGGCTTCTCGTTTGTGTAAGAGGGATAAAAACATTCGAAATTTTGTAAAACGATTTTGGGGTCCGCAGATCCGCAGATCCGCAGGACAATTTATCAGCCAACCGGCCATGCGTGCAGCCCTCCCAATTGAAACAATAGCCCTTTCAGTAGCTGTCCGGAACTGCTGTTGCGCTGCGACGCCGCGACGTACGCAAGGGTGTATAACGTTGGGAGATTGGTGGAAAACAATGTGGATTCAAATTCATCACAATACCTACATGGAAGATCCGTCGGATGTCAGCAACTTTAGTTTGTTTACGGATCTCCTCATTCCTGATTCGATCTTGTAAAGAAACACCGAGAACGCTCTCCATACGCTCTGCAACTTTGAGCTTCTTTAAAGGTTCATAAAGGTCTGTCTATTACGTGCAAGCGATAAGGATGGGTAGCTTGGGGTCATTAGACAAAATTCTACGTGTTTGCAGTCCAGGCTTTAGCAAGAAGGCGCTGGACGCAGGCTGTTACTAACCGGTTAATCTGGAAATCATTGGAGGCGCATTGGATATTCAGCAGTGTACTGTGGCTGAAATGATGATGATAACATGGACGTAATAACATTCAAACAAATATTTTTGCAATGATCTGTATTCCGAGCATTTTTATGCAATCAAAGTAACTAAGTAATGTACCTATGTACAGACGACAACAAAAACATAAGCGTCTCACGTAGTGGTAATAGGTGCGGTTTTTCAACAATCTGATGTGCTGTCGACTGTACATCTCACAGCAGACCAATAAAGCCGACAATTCGACGTTAGTGAACTAACGGCAAAACATGCCAAACAAACGAAAACTCTGCCACGTGTGTTTAGACGATACGATTTTAGGTGAAATATAGGCTATAATAAACTATTTCTCTATCGACAAGAAAACTGAAGCCATTGCGCAAAATATCACGGGGATTTATATCAACCTACCACTACTAAGGTTGAGGGCACAAGTACGCGCGGCAGGTCGCCCATGCGCTCGACTGATCAGATCAAAACCGCACTCAATGGTCCACTCCACGAGTGCACAAGAAAGGCTGCAGTGCGGGAGGAATGGCGACGGATTGTGAGACTTGCTACTGGACCTGGTGTGACAACAACGACCACTCTGGCAAGAGTATAGCGACGAAGAAGTGACCACTATTATGGGCTCTAGCTAGACATTCTAGATTTAACATCGACAATTTACTTACATTCAACATTGCCACTAACTTAATCATCTCAGCTTCAGTCTTAACACGTGTACAGAATACCAAATTTTTGCCCTCCATAGCAAGTGGACAGATTCGCAACTGGACAGATTCTCAACTGGACAGATTCGCAGGTGGACGGATTAGCAACTGGACAGAGTACAGTCGTGAACAATGAAATATAGTTAATACATTGAAAGAATTTATTTAAACAAAATAAAACTAAACGAATTTAAGTAAAAAAAAAATAACTTGAATATCGGGACAAAGGATGATGGGCAAAAATGTATGGAAAGTGGTACCCGCTCCAATAGCCATAATCAATATATATTTTAAAAGGCCTTTAGATGTAGGAAAATGTCTGCTATGGGGCCAGTTCTAATTCACGTTTTGAAAGCAGTAATTCCACTAAGTATTATATTGAAAGTATAACACAATCATCCATGTATACGAGTATGTATTATGACTACAATCTATTAATATAACTAAAAGAAGCATTGAAAAGGAAAGGATTATACCTACGATGAACTACCCTAACTATTAGCCCTTTATTCGCTTTCATCATCATCATCATGATCATTTTAGCCATAGGACGTCCATTTGAATATAGGCCTCCCCCAATGATTTCCACAATGGCCGGTTGGTGGCGGCCTGCATCCAGCGCCTTCCCGCTACCTTTATGAGGTCGTCGGTCCATCTTGTAGGTGGACTTATTGGGTCTTGTGGGTTTATTCGCTTTAGCAACCCATAATAAAACCCTTAAGAAGAAATAAAACTTTAACCCCTTTATTAATAAAAGTTACACCCTAGTTGAACNCTTTAAAATCTCCACAGATACGAATATCCCCATTCTCCTTAATAACTGGTACTATAGGCGTCCCGTAGTCTGAGTGATCCACTCGGTAGATGGTTCC